CCTTGTCTTTGGCATTCTGGCTGGCTCCTACATGCATCTTACAATTAAATTGCATGTGTTCTGTTTGAGAGGAAACTTTAAAAGTCTGTTTACCTTACAAGATCAAATGCACGCCTGTTGCCCATTGCTCAGGTTGGAGTGCTGTGAGAGAATCATGTAGGCAGCTCAACTGAAGCTCACAGTGGGTGAGAGAATGGGCTCGTGGTAACTGGAAACAGTGCAGGCAACTGTGAGTCACCCTCAACGTGGTCCAAAAGGTTTCCGCAGGAGTTCGGGAAATGCACCTGAAAGGGGTGTTCATGAATTTCATGCATCGCAAGTGGAATTTCCTGTGCTTCAGCTGGCCTTAGTAGATGGATTGCCAGAAGGGTCTCTGGCCTCCCAGCAGGTACTCAGCAGTGGAGCAATTGAGGCCTTGGACCCAGCTCCATGGCAAGACTGCTTCTATCACTGTTGGGTGCCTGTACCCCTACTGTGTGCTCTCATGTGGCTCTTTCCGGAGAGGGCAGGAAAGCTTGTGGGGGTGTGTGCAGGCAGGGTTGCGAGTGAGGTTATCTGTACCTTGGATGCTTCTTCACGGTGTTGGCTGGCCCGACTGTGCCGAGCCTGCTGCTACATCTCGGCTAGGCCGTCGGTGATAAATAATCATCATTGCCGTGTGATGGCTGAGAGCAGACTCCAGCCAGCGTGGGCTGGGGTGTAGTGTTTTCCTGATGGATGGTGCCTATTCTGGGAAGCAGCTTATTGTCTCACGTGAACGGGCTTTCTAAAATAAATGACTGCTTTCTTAATATTTTGAATCATTTTCCTCAGCACATGTTTTGTTGCTGTGGTTTGAAAGCTTGCCAAATATATGCCTTTGCGCAACTCCCTTTAGGGCTGGATATAAAATCAGACCAAACAATGTGATTTAAGGTTGAACATAATTGGGAACTCAGCAATCACTCGCCTCGCATTTGATAGAACGGCAGTAGAGTGCTTCAGAGTTATTTATCTTTTTAAAAAATGATATATATATAATATATATATTTTATATATATAATGCACACAGCTTCACTGCCTCATAATAAAAAAGGTTGCATCTGAAACCACTGGGCAAAACCATTAGCATGATAAATAATTACTTGACTTTTGTGATAACAGTTAACTTCCCCCAAAATCGTAATGATTGATATTGTAGATGTGACTGACAGTCTTAGTCAAATTGTATAGGGTTACAGGACGAAAAATAACCAATGGGGCAGAAATGCGATTAAACCCAAGTCCTTGTCAAATTGATCGTTGATCTGCTTGCTTGCTTCTGTGTACTTGAGTAATTGAGCCATAAACCTGGTGAACTTGGGGTTGCCTCCCTGTTAAACAAGGGTCCTTGGATTTTACATTTCAAACACAGCTGTGTGCTTCTTGTTGGAGGATTGTCAGTTTCCTGTAATGGAGAACTTTTCACGTGCCTCCTGTGCTGGTGGAAAAAGTACGGTCACCAACCTGGAGCTCTTTTAAAGGAAATTGCAAGTTCTTCTAGAGCAGTGGTTCTCAACCTGTGGGTCGCGACCCCTTGGGGGGGGTTTTCACGGCCCTTTTACGGGGGTTGCCTAATTCATAACAGTAGCAAAATGACAGTGATGAAGTGGCAACCAAAATAATTTTATGGTTGGGGGGTCACCACAACATGAGGAACTGTATGAAACGGTCGCGGCATTCGGAAGGTTGAGAACCACTGTCCTAGAGTCACGAGTGAGATCTACCGTTTGTTTACCAGGCCAGGGGAGAGATCATATTGCCAGAAGCTTATGGTAAATACCTGGATATTATGGTGAGAGCCACACAAAGACACCTACCTGCTCCTCCACTCACTGGAATGGGGACTCTTGCAGGCTTGCCACCCTGCAGCGGCTGAAGAGGCAGCATGTGAAAGGAATGACTTTGAAACTGTGGGCTGTGTCTACGTGCTCATAGGAACCAGGATGATGGCATCCACTGCAGGGCAGCGTGTCAGCCTCCCACTGCCCTTGGTGAGAAGGTGTATTCTAACAAGAAAAGAAGAAAACGCTGTGAGGTCCACATTTTGCTGTCTCGTTTGTGCAGGGAAAGTGCATCTTCTCCCAAGTGTCTTTTGGAATTCCGGACTGTCACATCAATCCCGTTCCAAAGTGTAACCTTCATTTGCAAATAACACGATTATGAAAAAAAAAGCACCCAATATACAAAACACCCACAAGGGTAAATAGATTTGACAAGGCTGTGGTGTACAAGGTCAATTGCATTTCTATATATTAGCAAACAGTTGGAAAATGAAATTTAAAAATCAATATGGAAGTGCAAAGGACTTAGAAAACGGAACCATTTTTGAAAAAGAACAGAGCTGGAAGATTGCACTGCCTGATTTCAAGACTTCCTATAAAGCTACAGTAATCGAGACAGTGTGGTGTTGCAGAAGGACAGACACATAGATCAATGGGACAGAATAGGCAGCCCTGAAATAGACACACACACATGGTCAATTGATTTCTGACGAAAGTGCAAGGCAATTTAATGGAGAAAGGGTGGGCTTTTCAGCACATCGTCCTGGAGGAATTGGACATCCATCTGCAAGAAAATGAACCTCAACCTGTACCTTGCACTGTATACAAGAATTAACTCTAAATGGGTCAGACCTAGTTAAATTCTAGAATTGAAACTTTTAGGAGAAAACATGTAAAAGTTTGTATGACCTTGGATTAGGCAAACATTTCTTGGATACAATCTGAAAAGCACAATTCAAAGAAGAAAAAAAAGATGGAGTTCAGAGTTATTCAAAATGAAAAACCTGTTCTTCCAAAAAAATCCGAATGATAATGAAAAGACAAGCTAGAGCCTGTTTAGAAATCCTTGCAGTGAGCCTCATCCTTACTCCGTGGAGCAACTGTTGGTTTTGAACTGCTAACCTTGAGGTTTCCAGCTCAACCACTACTACCAGGGCTTCTAGAACAGCAGTTCTCAACCTGTGAGTCGAGACCTCTTTGGGGGTTGAATGACCCTTTCACAGGGGTCTCGTAAGACCATTGGAAAACATAAATATTTCACAATATACAATTACATATTGTTTCATGATTAATCACTATGCTTTAATTATGTTCAGTTTGTAACAATGAAAATACATCCTGCATATCAGATATTTACATTACGATTCATAACAGTAGCAAAATGACAGTTATGAAGTAGCAAGGAAAATAATTTTATGGTTGGAGGGGTCACCACAACACGAACTGTATTAAAGGGTCGTGGCATTAGGAAGGTTGAGAACCACTGTTCTAGAATATATATCGAGCTCTTCAAACTCAATTGTTAGAAAATAATTTGACTTTTAAATGGGTAAAATATTTGAATAGATACTTTAAGCAGATTGCAGCAAAGCACATGAAAAGACATTCAACATCATTAGTAGGGAAGTGAAAATTACCCCAATGAGATAGCACTTACACATCTATTAGCATGCATAAAACCACAACCCAAACCTGATAATACTAAGTGCTGGTGGAGATGAGCAACTGGAGCCCTCATAGCGCAGAGAGTCACTTTTGAAAAGCTGGGCAGTTCTTACAAAGCAACACCTAAAGAAGACACAGCAGCCTCACCTTTAGGTATTTGCCTAACATTCATACAAAAACTTGTATGAATGTTTATAGTGGCTTTCTACATGATCTTCGGCTCAAATATCTCCCGCTGTTAAATAAACAACTTCATTGGCATATTGTTTAGCTATACAAAGGAACAGACTGATACAACTTGGATGAATCTTTAATGTTTTATGCTAATTTTGAAAAGAAGCCAGAGCCAGAATGCTACATTCTGATTCCTCTTAAAAGATGTTCTGGAGAAGGCAAATCTATATGGAAAGAAACAGATCTGGAGTTTCTGGGCACTGGGAATGGGATTAACTATAAAAGGGCACAAGGGAACTTTTTGTGATGATGGAAATTTTCTGGCTGTAAACATTTGCCAAATTGCATAGATCTGTACTCTAATAAGAATGGTTTACCTGTACAGTCAAAAGAGTAGATTTCACTGTACGCAAATTACACCTAAAAAGCCTGAATGAAAAAAGAGACACCATTATGAAAATGAGTAGATGAGCGATGGGCGTGAAAAAAATGCTCTCAATATACTTATTGGACAAATAATTTAGTGCATATATGTATGTACATATATGCAATCAACAATAATAAGATGAATGGCATAAAACATGGTCAAAAGGCTTTGAACAAGTATTTCACAAAAGGTGATCTTTTTTTCTTTAACTTGACTGTCCGTTGGGTGCAGGTTTTCAGAGCAGGGAATCAGGTCTACATTCAGTAATTTAGACACATTTTGTTTCAACTCCTCTGTTGCAGTCCCTTCATTACTTATTCCACTCTTCCTGTGTTTCCCATTTCTCTTCCTCTTCTTCTAACCCTCTGATCCTTGACCTTGGATAAGTGCTGTCCTTTTGATCAAAATATCGTAACATGGGAAAAGGTTCCGTTCCAGATCTGAAAGGTGACTAAGGCCCATAGTCTTGGGATCTCTCTGACCGATAAACCTGGTCTCTTACAATTTTGAGCTCTACATTTTTCTACCGTTCCATCCAGAACCTTCTAGGATGGGCCTTTTCAGAGCAGGTGGGGGCAGAGGTGCTGGTCTCAGGGTTGTGGAGACTGGTGTTTACATGGTCCATTAGTCCATTAGGCGAATGATTTCCATGTGTCTTGATTTTCATCACTCTTAGTTACCCTCAACCCGGATTGATCAATAGTTGCACCTTAGATGGTTGCTTGTAAGCCCGTAAGACCCCAGTTACTGTTCACCAAAGGAGGATGTAGAACATTGTCTTTGTGAATTGTTAATGCCTGATGACCTTGGAGTCTCAGACTGTAGTTCTCATCCCCCAGGTTTAGCAGTTTATTCTCTCAAGATGTTTGGTTTTGTCTAAGAAGTGGTCTTACATACTTGGGATGTGTTTTTAGGCGAGACCAGTCCTTGGAGAAAGGGACATCATGCGCAGTAGAGGGGACTCGAAGAGGAAGGCCCTTAAGGAGATGGGTTGACAGAGGCTACAATGGGCACAAACGGCCTGCAGACAATGGAGAGGATGGTGCAGGACCGGGCAGTGCTCCCTTCTGTCATGCATAGGGTCGCTATGGGTTGGAATCGACTTGATGGCACAACAAGAAGTTTTGATAGCTTCACTACATTCATGGAGACATTTGCAGCAAAGGTAAATGCACAAATAGAAATCTCTGTCAATCTTCTCTCTATATAGATTTGTGGGTATACTCCTATTCCCCGTCCCAGTTCAGCCTGCATGCCTATCTACTCATAGATCACTATTGCAGAATTGTGTATATACCAGTATTTGCCTCTCTTGTCACTAACTCTTGTAGATCTCCCAATGTCTTCCCCTGCCTCCATTTTTGCCTCCATTGTTTTTTATCCACCTCTCTTTTCACCCAGGTTAACACTTGACTAACTTCTAGCTCTTGACTCTTACCCCCCCCCTTCTCTATTGAAGAATGTTTCTTTTAATGTGAAAACCGATTCTTGACTTTTACAGTAGTGATCTCATCCAATATGGGTTCACAAACTTTGTGACCTAACGCTCCCTTTTCAGGGGAAAAATAAGGTAATCCCTCCATCCCTCCAATTGAGAACGCCTACAGCCTATGAGGAACCCTAGTAGTGTAGTGGTGTAGTGGTAACCACAAGGGCACCAGTTTGAAATCACCAGCTGTTATGAGGGAGAAAGATGGGTCGTTCTATACCCATAAAGAGTTACAGCCCCAGAAACCCACAGGGGCAGTTCTACCCTGCCCTGTAGTGTCCTGTAGGACCTGTGCCAGGGTGGTGTTGACTCAGTGGCAGTGAGTTTGTGGTTCCTATAGCCCACAATCCAGGATAAAGAAGGCTGCTTTTGCAGTGCCCCACCCCCTAGCCCTACCCTGCCCCCAATTGTGCAGCACTTCCTAGGGGCTGGTAGTTGCTGCTTTGGGAAGCACTGTCATACAGTGTCCTTTGACTAATTTCACTCAGAATAATCTTCTTTATCGAATTCACTTTGTTTATGGGTTTTCTTGTCATTTTCTTGATTGCTGCTGTTTAAATGTTTCTCAGTCTCTATGATTTTCCTTTTTTACTTTGGTGAGGCTTATTCATTTTCATTGAGGTTGTCCTGTGGTTTAATTTCGTCCTAAGTGTAAAGGGGTCTGTTCTTGAAATCTCTTTGACTTGAATTTTAAAGTTCTATCCTGTACCATTCCCTCTAGTTTGTGGTGGTCTTCACTACAAATTTTACAAATTGATGTCTCTGGTTCCCTATTTTCAGCCTTGTATGTTTGTTTTAGTTTTGGCTACTTCTCTGGGTGGTGGCGTCATGCATGTTAATCTCAGGTTATTGTCTTTGTACAAAGAACTCCTCTTGGTATTTATTGTAAGATCGGTTTAGTTTGGGGGAAAAACAAAAAGATCGGTCTAGTTTGTACAGATTCCCTTAGTTTCTGTTTATCTAGAAATGTCCTAATTTCACCATTGTATTTGAAGGACAGCTTTGCTGCATATATGACTGTTGGTTGGTAATTTTTTCTTTTCTTTCAGAGTTTTACATATGTCATCATTGCTGCCTTGCATGGTTTCTGCTGAGAAGTCAGAGTTTAGTCTTAACTGGTTCCCCCTTTTAACTTTTTTTTTTTCCTGAGCTGTTTGTAGGATTCTGCCCTTGTCTTTGGTTTTAGAAAGTGTTAATTATGATATGGGCTTCTAGCCTATCTTGCTCAGGGTTCATTTAGCTTCTTGAATGTACATCTTTCATAATGATGGAGAACTTTCCCTCCAACAACCATGACCACTTTCTCTATCTGTTTTGTTGTTTCTTTTTCTATCCTGGAATTCTGATCACATAAAAGTTATTTTTCTTGATGGTCTGCCGTATAATTATTAGGCTCTCTCCAGATTTTCCCCTTCTTTTCTCATGATTTCTCTAGCCCGGGAGTGGGGGACCTTTTAGATCACTTGCAGGCCATGCTTGTCGAACATTTAGTTAACTCACTCCTCACGTGATGGCAGGAACGGCTTCTCTCTGGTGGGGTGTGTGCTGGCTGGTTTGGTGACTGCTGGGGCTTCGTATGGCCTCAGGAGTAGACATTCCCCACCCTCGCCCCAGCAGATGAGTTTTGAGAGCTTTCTATTCAACTTGGCCCTCCATCGATTCCATTCTTTTGCTCTTCCAATGAATTTGTTATTTCTGAAAACTTAGTATTGAGTTTTAAAAAAATAATTATTTTCTTACTTCCCATTTATTGTGTCAGTTCTTGTAGTATTTGCCAGAATTCTATTAAAGTTTCATTCTCGGTTTTTCCTGCTTTTGCCTGCAGCTTTCTTAATCTTTTAACTCATTGTAAGGAATCTCAGTGCCATTCTTTTGAATTCCTTATCAGGAAGTTCCATTGTCATTTCCTACTGAGAAAGCTTCTCTTGCTCTGTGTTTAGGTCACTTTTTAAACCACTCCATCTTGTTTCTTCATGTAAGCTGAAGTTATTTGTTGTCTCCACGATACTGTGGTGGTATTGTATGGATGATTGCTTGTTAGTGAGATTGTAGCCACTCAGCTCTCCTCTCCTGGTAATGGGCGGTGTGGGTATGTACACAGTCCTTTGTGTTCTGTTTGTATTGCACTTGGAGTTTGGCTGGTGTTGAGTGCTATCTTTTGATGATCAGGTGCCACAGGAGTTGTCATTTTCATTCAGTGTGGTGTGCAGCAGGAGGTATGGGTACGGCTAAGCTATGTGGCCAAGGTTGCTGTCTTGCGTAGGACAAGGGGGAGAAAAACATTTTAATGCGTACAAATAGCAAGGACAATTTAAAAAAATCAATTTATTGGGGGCTTGTACAACTCATCACAATCCATCCATCCATCCATTGTGTCAAGCACATTTGTGTATTTGTTGCCATCATCATTCTCAAGACATTTTCTTTCTACTTGAGCCCTTAGCAAAGGCTCATTTTCCCCCTCCTGCTCTCATGAACCCTTGATAATTTATAAATTATTATTATTATTTCATTTTTTACACTGTCCAATGTCTCCCGTCACCCACGTTTCTGTTGGAAGTTTTAACAAAGAGCTTTTGTAAAAGGAAAAGCAAAGAAGGAGAAAAAGTACAAGCAAAACTAGGTAGAGAGGGAAAGACAAGCAAATAAGAAAAAGAAGCAGAGAAGGGAAAAGACGAACTGAGAAATAGAAGAAGATAAAGACCAAATGGCAGCTGAGAAAGAAGGACGAAGAACCAGGGAAGGAGGAAGTGGGCAGGGACAGGACACTGGAGGGCAGGGGACCTGCTCTGCGTTGGCCCTTCTGCCAACCAAGGGGTAGTGGGGAATGGATTGGGAAGTGGCCTGAATGGGGTCCATGCCAGCCCCTCTGATGTGTCTGTTTGGGGATCTGATCTAGAAGCAGTTTGTGCGGGTTTAGATGGTGGCTGAAGTCAGGGCGCTTATTCCTAGAAAGGAACTTTTGGGCCAGAGGACAGCTGCAGGCAGAGTGAGTGGTTGTGAAAGGTGTTCTTCCCAGCAGGGTGTCTAGTGACAGGCCACTTGCCTGACACTGCTTTCTGATACTCCAAGTGGTACTGGGACACCTCCAGACATGGGGGTCGTGCACCAGGACCCCGGTTCATGGAGGCTGGTTCTGACTTCAGGTAGAACCCCAGGTTGATAAGGGTCCGGAAAGTTGCGTACAGAAAGGGCGAATTCCACCTTTCTTATCACTAGTTTGAGTGCTTTTGCTGGCCGTGAGCAAGCAGAGCTAAACAGCAGGGTGCAATTCAATTGAAAGCTGCTTGCCAAATTTCCTGAAGGCTGCACTGAGTCAGGCCAGCCATTAAAATGTGCCTATCTATCTCCTCCCTGGCCACTTTAATTTAGCTGCTTCTAGTCAGTAATCAATCCATTTCTCTGTCTTTTCTTGTGAAACTCAGGGTTCCTGGGTTATCGTGTCCATGTCATTTGGTCTCTTATTGTCAAGGGTCTAGGTAGCATGTCTGCCTACTCTGCCATCTTACAGAAAGAAGATCTTTGATCAGTAAACACGTGGACAGGTGTGCAGCTTCTTCAGTAGTCAGGAATTAGAGATTACAGCCACAGTAAGACACCATTTCACATCTAGTAAAACATCTAAAGTAAGACAGCCAACATCCAGTATTGCTGAAGTTGGGGAGCAGCTAGAACCCCCATACACTGCTGAAGAGCGTAAGTGGCACAGCCTTTTTGGAGACCTGCTTGGCAGTTGTAATGGAATGAAGCATACTCTTAGGATCCATCAATGCGGACTCACAGCTCCAGACAGAGAAGGGTAGAGCTGCCCCTGGGAGTCCCGAGACTGCCGCTCCCCAGAGGAGTAACGTGTTTTCCTGTCTTTCTCCAGCACAGTGGCTGGTTGTTTCAAACTGCGTGCCTTGTAGTTAGCCCAGTGCATAACCACTACTCAATCAGGGCTCCTACTTTTCACATCCAGTAGGGAGAGAAATGTTCATAAGAAGACTCGTCCAAGAATGCTTATAGCCCCAAACTGCAAACAGGCCAGATACTCATCAGTTAAAGTGTGCACTGGCAAACATCCTAAGATGGAATACTACTGAGCAGTGACAAAGAATGAACTTCTCTAAAAATGGAGTTTGGGCAGAGTCTTCAGACTTCCTCCGACTTCACAGCGGGAAGGAGAATCAAATTCCACATCAGCTTAAGGCCCCTTCGCATGAGGCAGGGGCCAGACATGCCTCCACCCTCCAACCTTCTTACAATTTCCAACACCAACTATCTTTTCCACAGCACGTTATGCATTTCTTCTGGGTCCAATAATCCATGGCTACACAGAACTCACAGATAATACTATTCTGGGTTTATTAGGGAAGCTAACAAGTTACAAAATTCAGGATTAGAAATATTGACGATACAGTCTGTAGTAGAGATAGTCTCTTCTGTGCTGTGTTCTCAGGCTGGCCTCTCTGGTCTTTAGCCCTTTGGCCTGTCCTCTGCTCTCTTCGGGCATTGTGACAAAGATCTTTCAGTCAATCAGTAAAAGGCGCTCCACTTAGCTGTATACATCAGCCTGAATGCGTTTGGCTTTAGGCTTGTGGGTCAGCAAACCTCGTTTCTTGCATTAAGTGGAGGCACCTCTCTGCTGCTTGAAGGCACTCAGCTTTACAGGCTTCGTAGGCCCGGAAGCCCACCACTCTTGGTGCTCTAGCTCTTGGTTCTGTTGCTGCCACGTCTCTATGTCACAGCTTTCTGTCCCTGGATTGAGGCGGTTCACGTGGTCCAAAAGACTTGCTCTATTCCTGTCTCATCGATCTTGATGGTAATGAGGTCCTCCTCTCCTGCTTCCGAGGGGGCCTCATTTTTTAAGACTCAGCAGGATGGAAACATGGATCGATCCTCACATTGCAGTTTAATATGTTTATAACCACAATCAGCTCTGTTAACAATCATTCGCAACTGAATCATGTAATGCTATCAGCATTTTCCTCCCACCCCCTCTTCTCCAGACCATCAGGAAGAGGAAATAGACTCGGTCACTTGGTGGGGGTGATGAAGACTGGCCAGAAGAGCCACATCCAGTAAATCACTGCACCAGGACTTCTGGTACAGCAAGAAGCTTGGATCTCAAAAGCAAAAGATGTGCATACTGTCTGATTGCTTCAGGGATAAAATAGAGGAACAAACAGAACCAATCCATGGTGATGGTGATTGCTTGAGGGTGGGAGGGGAATTTGAAAGAGAGCCAAAGACGCTTCTGGGGGTGATGAAAATGTACAAAAATGATCCATTGGGTGATGACTCTGAGGATATACAATTGTTAAAACTTACTGAGCAGATTACCATCTGTACATGTTATTGTACATATGACCTTAATAAAAATGCCTCCAAGACTTTTATTGAATCTGAAAACAATTGTTTAACCTTTTGTTCTGTTTGGTCTTCACTGTGTGGATTCTGACATAGCCTCCATTTCTGTGTGATACATCTCATTGGCATTACCCAGTATCCCCTGTGGCAAAAGGGAGGCTCGGTTCTGAGTGAGCTGTTTGACATGGCTCAAGGCTTCAGACAATCAAAAGTCAGGTAAGTGACTTGTGCTTCTGACTGAGCCCTGCAGGACCTGCTTGTCCTTACCAGTTAACTGTCTGTAGAATCTCCGTGTTGGAAAGAACCTGGAGACTTAGCATGTGTCCTAATTATAAGGGACAGCCCCTTCTAGACGCTAATGTGGAAAAGAAGTAGCAACAATACATTCAAAGGATTGGGAAAAAGGCTCTTGCCCCAGCTTCTTTGAATGGCAGGTTTCTTGCTATGGTGTCTCTCTCTCTCTCTCTCTCTCTCCACTCTGCATAGGAGAGTCGTGCACCATCACCTGTCTGCTGAAGATCCCCAAACTATCAGCAAATCCATCTTTCTCTTCTAAGTTCAAACGTTATCACGCTCTCTGCTCTACCACCCAATGTGCTGTCGTCCTAATCTCATGTAAAGCTGCTCCCAAACCTTTCCTGATGCGTTTGATCCTTCTGTATCCTCTTATTGTGGCCTTAGCCACTGACGTCTGGCATCTGCTCCCCAGCCCTTTTCAGAGAAGCTTCACGCTGTAGGATTCACCGAAAACTCAGACTTCCTAAACCCTCACCCGTCACCCTCCCTGCTTCCTGAAATCTTGCTTTCCCTCAGTTCTGGGACACCATTCTTCTGCCTCACTACCTGTTTTTCCCTTTGAGAGTTTGCTATCCTCTACCCTCTTTCCTCTCAGTAAGACGTCTCTGGGCTCTCATCTTTCTGAGGGTGTGCATGTACATGCATACACTGAGGACACCCATCTATCTTCAAGCCCTCCTCCCCCTACTGCCCCAATTTCAAATCCATATTTCAGGTTACATACTGAACACTCAAACACAGGGTGTCTGTCCAAAGGCAAACTCGTCATCTTCCTCTCAGCCTGGTCAGGATGTCCCCAGAGAGCATGTTCTTAGACTAACAAACAGAAGGCTCCTTCAGCCCTGCTTCTAAAACCTTGTCATCTATCCTGTCATCTCATCTCTCCCGCCATTGCCCTCGAGACTCTCCCTGGGTCTCCCTGCCTCGTTCCGTCTGGCTCCAGCTCACTTCTACCTTCAGAACCCACCCCATTTCCCTCTTCGCAGGAGAGAGCTTCCCCGCCCTGGGATCCTTTGTTCACACTTTTCTCAGTGGGGCCAGAGTGAGTCCCTCCCTGCTTTGGGTTAAGAGTTGAGCTGCTGACTGCAAGGTCAGGGGTTTAA